GAGCTACAAGTGTTCTGCTGAGCGTAAATTTGCTATACTACGCACTGGTAAGACGGAGACAACAAATACCACTGCAATCACGTACTCTTAAGTATATATTCATATGTTACCGTTTACGCATCTAATCATGAAATGTATAAAAAATGTATATATTTGTATGAAATAAAAATGTATATTATTATCATGATAAACTRCAGCTTTTAAACTGCAAAACCAAGACAACGAATCAAAAGTTGTCTTTAATTTCCATCATTATACGTCATACATTTTAATTTATATTTAGATTATACGCCGGAAGAGGCCTTTCATGAAAAAAATTCAAATATATGACCGTATAATGATGGAAATATACAGCTGAAAACATCACATGCATATTTCTATCAAATTCAGGGACAACTACATATAACCAATAGGAAGTTTTGTTATTTTTGTATATGGACACCTAAAGGTAAAAATTATTATAAATGAAGCTTAAATTTATAAGTTAAAAGAAAATGTATACAATTAGCCATTTGTTATATAAAATTATAATAATTATACTTATACCAATTAATAGGACTTATAGTAGAGAAAATTGAAAGGGATGATAAGTTCTGGATGGATATAGAACCAAAGTTGAAGAAGTTTTACATGGAATGTTTACTTCCGGAAATAATTGATTCGCGACTTGACCGAGGTCTTCCACTTAGAACAGGCTTATAATATTATAATTAGATACCTATTATAATAATGTATAATACGTACAATAAATTGAATAAAATAAAAAAGTTTTTGCAGTGATGAGTATTTTTTTGAATCTCAAATAAATACAATTTAGATAGTATACAGGTAGGTAATAGGTAATTACATAAAAATATAAACGAAAAAAATTAAGTCTAAAAGGCGAATAAAATAATCATAAAAACTACTTTATTATTTGAAAATTACGTCAGGCAGCAAATKATATACTATCTAGTATCTATAATAATTGATGTACATGTACTATGTATATTTATCATATTTTTATACAGGTATAACTGTATAAGGTATACAGGTATTATAGTKTAATTACGGGACGCCGACATAATCGAAGATAAGAAATATCATAATGTTGCGGGCTGTAGTAGTCATGTGGGCAGGCGGGGGCACTAACACCAATGATCGTTTACTACAAACACAAATACACGCCATGCACGCATGCACTATGGAATGGCCTTAAAATTGCCTATACTAAGCTCCTTAAAAACGGTCGGTATCGAATCCCCTTAAGTTAAAATTTATAAGTACTTAGAGTATTGATAAAATATTTCCGACTTTTCGCGTTTTCTAATATAAATATTATGTGATTTTAGTTAAAAAGTTTATTTTCAATACCTACAAATCATGTTTTTATATGGGTAAAATACAAATTGCAAATTTTAACTTCATATGTCGTTCATACAGAAATATTTTTATACCTACCAATAACCTCTATAGGTAGATGACATAAGGATGGTTAAATCTTATATTTGATTTAAGTACCAACCGTTAATATTTTCATAGCCAATCTTTTTTTGAATTCCTGCCAAAATCCATACMGTAATCGTGGTCAACGTCGCAGAAAATAAAACTAATAGCCACAAAATTAACGGAAACGGTTTGAACAGTAAGTCCCATTTTTCTCGCAACGGCCGGGGCTTGGGGACCAAAAACTTTAAACACGTTAATGTCCAAAATTTAGACATGTCAACAAACTTGAATTTTATGTGATCAATCCAAAGAGAGCAAAAGGACACATCAACCCTTTTAGTATCCAGCCATTTGAGCGCACCACCGGTTATTGTATTGTTCGACCACACTGTTCCCCATTTGTCTTTGTCGTCAGACGTGTAAGTRYCCCATGTGATGTTCAATCTTGTAGCGATTTCTTTAAATATACTACATTCAACGCCATACGATAAGCCTGTATTAAAATATTAATTTAAGGATTTTACTAGAGTCTATAAAATATTCTGCGCTTAATGAATGGATTTATAGAATCGCGTACCATGGTTTGTATATATAACTTTTGTCAAACATTATACTATGACGATAATATAMTATTTAGCATAAGTTTCTTATATACATTTTCCCAAATTATTTATGCTAAAAAGACAATATGTTTATCAAAAATATTCTTAATTTTATCTTAGTGCTATACTTTTCATAATATTTTTGTGGTAAAACATTTTTTCAAGAACTACCATTTCCCATGATCTTATCAGTACCTACTTCACTTAACTTTTTTAAATTAATTCTATCAATAAGAATTATACGCAAAATAAATGTGTGTCAAAAGTTATTACAAATTAAGTGTAAGTGTGGCCTACAGGCTACTAAATATATTATATTCAGGTATATAGGTATATATAAAATTGTATGTATACCTAATTAAAAATTAAAAATTAATATTTTGTCTTTTCTCATTGTGAATAAGTATTTATTTTTTCTAATTTGATATATTAAAATGTGTCAGCATATCACATGCTATTACAAGCATAAAACAATCATTACATTTTACAAAATACAATGTGT